AATACCAATCCTTACAACACTAATTCTAGGATTGAAAAGGTAAAAGGATAACGAATGTGCTTTTTTTTTTCTTTTTAATTCATTTTGTTGAGGGTTTCGGTACCATGACAACTCGAACTAACTTGAGTTGGTCTGGGGTTTTATGCGGAAGCTTGGAGTGATCCATTTCGTAGTAAGAGCCAACTTTAATGTGAGCTGCAGCATCTGTACCCAGAAAACTAAGATCAGACACGTTAGGGACACTGAAGAAAGGGGCATAAATGGAACATGCATGGTAAAAACACAGAAAGGAAGAAAGGGGCGCGACAGCATATGCATATATGGTTGTGTTTACCAAGATTAGAATCTGGTGAAGAAGGTGGCAGTAGTTGTCTGCCCAAACAAAGCCTCATTGCGGCGTCCTCGGAGCTCTGTCCTGCTTGCGTTTTCAAGTACATCATCTCCTGCCATTCAAAACACACCCGCCTCACCCAATTCACTACTTTTTCTTATAACACCATAAGTCCATAATCAAAATATAGCCCGGGTATTAAAATTTTTGTACGTGAAGAGAGGCTTTTTTCTTTTCCATTTTTTAATTTATTAGCTACGACACAGTCTGGATTAAACCACAAAAAAGTTGAAGAAAATAAAACATAAGGAGGTAAGCTAAGGTAGCGTATACGCCCGCGTTTTTGGTGCGCGCGTATGAGACAAAGGATTTTCCTTGTTCGCGGCAAAATGAAAACGTCCCTTTCTGGTACATGACGCGTGAAATTTAGTAGTGGGAAGAAGGGCGCGTGGAAGTGGGTGCTCGTGTAGGGAGGAGAGATTCGGAGAATCAGAGTGTAACAGAAAAATTTTGGAATAATTGAAAGCGGAGGAAAAAGCGTGCAATAAGAGAGAGAGAGAGAGCTCACAGTGAGGTTTGTAGCAGCTGCTGCTTCAGCATCAAGTTTGCACCACCTTTTCTCCATTGATTTGCAACGGATTCAGATCTACAAATTACAAATACAAAATAAAATTAACTTGTTTTAACAGTACTGTAGTGAATCCAAAAAAAAAAAGAGAAGATGATGAGAAAAGGAAAAATGTTCGATTAAATTGCTTTGAGCTTGAGGTCAATTTGAATGAACATGCATGGAATGTGTTAGGGTTTCCGAGAAAGACTGAAGTAAGAATATATATAGCATTTATATATATATATATATATACTCTAAGTACAGTAATGAAATAAATATCGGCTGTGTAAGAAAATGATTCCTCGTAGGACTGTAGGGGAGTACTAATTTAGCAGATTTTGCAGACCTGGACTTCTTTATGCATATTCTCAGG